TTGTTCTAAGTACTTTTCCTACTTATTACATTAACGAATATAAAACATCTTTACGATCTTTATCTTTATTGCACCATTATTGTTACGCCAAGAAAAGTCCTTCACGAAGACGAGTTAGAGAAAGCTTACAATAGGCGTTCCCCATAGAAGACAAAGGTCTTGTACTATCGGTAACATAGGCAGAGGCCTAGAGCTATCATAAGATAAAGAAAGAAGAAGACAGAAAGAGAAGTATCGTTCCCCATCGCCAAGAACTAACTATCCAGAGAGGGATCGTTACATTATTATTTTATCCCATAAAGTAGACATTTGAGATATGAATAATCAGGGGCAGAATTGACTTTCCATTTCCCGAAATTGCTTCTACTACAGTAACCCAAAACCACTTTCCACCCTGAACAATCCTTGGATTCTTCCTCCCAGTATGGTATAAGATGGTCTCACCACCTCCCAAACCTATTGCAAATCTCTTCTCATCAGTATCCCAAATGTTTTCCAACTTGATATGATATTTGGACTGAATATTATAGTAGCAATTGAGGTGTTCTTTGAAGATTGCTGGATCAGTGGTAAGTGATCTTTGCTTATCTAAGGTCTTCCCTACCTTGAATTGAATCTTCAGATATCTTATAATAAACCAACCAACTCAATGCTTCCCAATTTTTCCTCTTTTTTCTTTCACTTTCTGCAACTGGTAAACCATATCCAAAACATGTCTCCGGCAGAGTGGGATCCCTCTCTCATCCCAGTCTTTGATTCTCTCAATAATGACACTCTCTTCAACCTTGGTAAGTAGTTGCTGCTGCTTATAAGGCCTTGGGGCAGGTGTAGTCTTTTCTCGAAGCTGATTTTGTAAAGTTGTATTGGAAAGACTAAAGAGTGTGGTAATCTTATATAATCAGAGCTCAGGATGGTCAATTCTGTGCTGCAAAGCAGCTCGAATCATGCTCTCTCTATCAGCTTTCTTGGAAGCCATGAAAGATCAGATTTGTATAACTTGTTGTTGAAAATGCGTAAGTTATAGAAATGTTGTATTGGGACTAAATTCTTAGAGGAAAATAAGCAAGATAGAACAAAATAGCCTGCCTTACATACTTGGTATCTTTACCCAATATTTTTCCTACATCAACCTGAAACTTATAGCCTAACTGCTGGGAATTAATCCTTGGGAATTTCCCAACCCTCAGTTCCAACAGCAAGCTTTTATACTAAAGTTATAAATGATGATTATGTAAGGCCAAAGGTTTGCTTTTAGATATTTTGGCATTATACTTCAGTTACATAGAATAGGTTTATAGCTGCTATTATGTAAATTATGGGATCCAGGAAGGAAGGATTGAGTTGGTAGTTATCATTTTTGATGACTTTACAGGTAGGCCAAAACTGTCACAAATGTGGCTTGGCAAGGAAAAGGTTTTCACATGATACATGGTTATGAGTCACAGGTATGTTATTGTTTCATACATATGACTCATTTGAGTCATATGATTTGTTATGTGTGGAATTTGTGATACTTTCACACATGGCGCAAATATGAGTCATGAGAAGTATGCATGACGAGTATGCTATGCGAGTGTGCCTTGTGGGTATGCCTTACGCATATGATTTATGTTTCGCACATGACCTGATTATGAGGTCATGGGTTTCATGCATATGACTCAGTCGAGTCATATGACTTGTTTATTGTATTATCATTGGTTTATGAGTTTTTACACATGACCTTGTTATGAGGTCATGCGTTTCGAGCATGTGACCACTTTAGTCACATGACTAGTTTGTTATGATTTAGTTTTGCACATGTAATTGTTTTGAGTCACATGACTAGGGGCGGGAAGAATACTATATATGGAGGCCGCTGTGGCCGACAAGGACAGATTCCTCACACTTTGTTCTAAGTACTTTTCCTCCTTCTTTCACCCCGTATCAGACGTGAAGGTTCAGTGTCGATCCAATCAGAGCCCTTGATTTCTATCTCACCATAGGCTTCAAGTCTTTAACTTCGAACACCTTTTGGGGGCTTCCTTATTTTAGCTCCTCATATGTTTGCTGAAAGTCTTTTCTTCCTTTTACTTAAAATTTAGGTTTTTCACTACAGTCGCCTCCTCACAGTCGCAATAGCTAAGCGAGCCTCCACTTCCTCTGCCACGTCCACTCTGTATTTGTCGGCGGTTCTGTCTTGTTCTGTCGAGAAGAACTTCGCCCTAGAGGCTGAAGTCTCTCGCTTTCGGTATCACATCTCTGTCCTTTCTCAGCGATTTCATTGCGCTGGGAAAGAGATATCTACCTTGTCGGCTGCCCTCAAGAATGAAGGTGCTATTAATTTCGGTTATTTCACGATATTGGCAGCTGAAGTTCCCACGGTTATCACCTCTTCGCCTGTCCCCTCAGTCGCTTCAGCTACTGCGGTGGCCTAGGTTAGGAGGGTTGGCTAGATCCTGCGAGTTCTCAGGGTCTGGCTGAGGAGCTCCCTCGGAAGAATGTTGCACCGCTGGTTATCCTGGCCCCTCCTGCAGCTTCGGTTGTGGTTGGTGGTGTGGGTGGACCGGTTCCTGATTCGTTGGGGCTGGTGGAGGTGCTTGCGCCTGGTTTGAGTAGGGTGGATCCTGGTGTAGTGACACCAGCCATGGTGGTATCACTCCCTTCAGGGGAGCAGGTGCCTGAATCCTCTGTGGCTGGTCAAGGTAACGCCTCTGGTGGTGTCCCTCCTGTGGCTGTGGGAAGTGATGAGGGTGGCCCATTCACTCCTGTTACTTGACCTGCACCTGGGGGTAGGCAGAGGAAGAAAAATAAGAAGTGCCGGGCCAAGCAAGACTAGACCTCACCTGTGCCACTTGTTCCCGACTCAGAAGGGTCATCACCTTCACCAATTCGCTACCACAAACTGGCTACTACAGAATACGCGGCAGGTTCGCCGCCTGCGGAGCAAGCTGAAGAGCTAGAGGAACAGTTGAATACCTGGGCTTGTTCGGTCAAGTGCCAGCAGCTTGGGAACTATCTCGTTCTGGCTGCTTCTGTCGAGGTTTTTGGGCTACGCTGCAAGTACGGTGTCCCCCTGATTCTCTATGACAGTTCGTACCCCCTCAGCTAGGGAGCCTTTCACCCTGTAAGTCGGCTTTCTCTCGGGTCTACACACTTGGGAGTTGGGTGTTTCTTTTGTTTGGGAATGAGGACGGGTGCCGGAGTGGTTGGCAGGGTGTCCCAGAATCATTGAGTGGGGGTGCTCAGGTGGGTTTCTACTGTGGAGGAGGTTTTTGAGGGGTCACATTCAGGTGGCAGTAGTGGAATTTTTGTATTTTGTACGAGTAACTTGGCTGGTGGGTAGGCTGGGCTGAGGAGGACTTTTCTTTACCATTGATGGCTTTGTATTTAGTGTTCATGTTGGGGCATGGCACAGGTATGTTTGAGGTACGGGGTTGGAGGTTTAGTTAGTTCGTAGTTAGTGGTATCTGAGATGCGACAACTTGGGGGCCCGGCCCTGAGGCTCATCGTATACCAGTGTTGGCAGTACGAGTTTAAATAAAATTAGATTGAATTCTAAGTACTTTTCCTACTTATTACTTTAATGAATATAAAACACCTTTACGATCTTTATCATTATTGCAACGTTGTCATTACGCCAAGGAAAGCTCTTCACGAAGAAGAGTTAGAGAAAGCTTACGATAGGCGTTCCCGATAGTAGACAAGGGTCTTGTACTATCAGTAACATAGGCAGAGGCCTAGTGCTATCGTAAGACTAAAGAAAGAAACAGAAGAAGAGAAGTATCGTTCCCCATCACCAAGAACTAACTATCCAAGGAGGGATTGTTACAGAAACAGATCCATTACTAGGGGTTGATCCATAACTAGGAATAATATGTTAGTTCTCAAGTCAAACTGTATTGGCCCCAATTGTCTCCCCTGTTAATAAAATAATCAGTTTCATCCCAGTATCATCTCTGTAGAAGTAGTCCTAGATGTAATCTTCTTAGGTTGCTGACTTTAAACCTTCATAACTCCTGATCCAACCAACAGATATCTTCCAGGTATTTTCCTACTCATATACAGGAAGCTATTCTACTGGATTGACAGATAATCCTGTGGTTGGCAACTTCTAGCTGTCCTAGGTAGCAGGACTTTGGTCATTGTTCGGTATTGGTAATAATTCCTACAACCATGACATATTCTCTGACCTCGTTGTAACACTTTACAAACTCTCTTTACTTTTTTGCTAGTGCTTTCTACAAGTTCTAAACACTTCTAATTATCATAGAGTGGATGAGAATTTGTTGGCTCTTCAAAGAGAACCTTTAACATTCAATATTGTATCTTAGTACCAATAGGTAACCTTACTTACAGCCCCTGCCAAAAATGCCCCATCTTTGAAGCATAGTAACTCTCTGGGTACTTGACGGATATACTCCGTTCTACTTTCCAGACTTAGCAAAAGATCCCCTCACATATATCCTACCATGAGGATCCAGTTGGACAGACAGTTACGACGTATATAGTATTATTCCCACACCTTCAATTTTGTGGTATTATAGTCATAGGACGTAACTAATATTAATATGTATGATGATGTGTAGGCCCTGTAAGGGGGCCTGCAGGGGGTGTTGGAAACCAGAGATTCTGATTCCAAGTTGAGTTACTCCACTTAGGGTAGTTCCTAAGTATCGGATTGCAGTACTCCTTAAAGGTCAGTACTTAGAGGAAGGTCTAGTGAACAGGCAAACCTTTTAGCTGCAAACAGTTACCTGCAACTCCAGGTTGACAAGTTGCAAAGTAAAAAGAAGAAGGTTACCTTGAATCCTAGTACAGTATTCGACAATGTTGAATACAGTAAAAGGTCAGTAGAGGAGGCCGAGTAAGAAAGGGTATCAGTAGGGGAAGAGAAGGCACAAATCACTAAATAAAATATATTTGATCAAGCTAAGGCACCTCAAGCTGAAAAGTAAGCACAAAGAACATCTAAATATTTGCAAAGAGCACAAATGGAAGCATGTATGTTTGAATGGGCACTGTAAATGGAAATTTTTTTTTTTTTGTTGAGGTTTGATAGAAGCACCAAGGTGGTCCAAAACTAGGAGTGGTCTGTTTTTCATGGTACCACGTATACACGAACATTTTATCTTTTCTTTGATCCTAAAAGCAAAGAGTAAATAGTTTTTGCTCTTTATACCGAGAACTCCAGATGTAGTCTCCTACCCTCTGGAACGCACTTCGGGTGTTTCTTTGGCAAAGCTTAATGCTTGAAGGCACGCAAGTGACGTTGCCTGTGGTAGTGACATTATTACAGTTAGTAAAGACGTATGAAGCGATGAGATTAGAGGGAGCATGCACACCACCAAACACCGAAAGGGATAGTATCAACTGAAATATTGAGCTCTTTAAGAGCCTTGGTAGACAGATGGCAGTCGTAAGGTCTCATCACTGCATTTTTGATGAGTTTCCTGAATTAGCTTTACCAAATTGGACATAAAATAAGGACAAGACAAGCCATACCAGCTACACTAGGATGGTTTTTGTCGTTTCCGACTATGTGGTTGATTGAGAGTCCGGCAATCTCAGAGAGCTTTTGGCAGATTTCGTACCTAACAGACATGAGCACATTATCGTGAGGGGTAGAAATCAAAAGGGCAAAAACTTTGTCATGCGGTCCTCGGAGCTGAACTGCAAGACCTTAGGAAGGGAATCGATATCGTCTGCTGACGTATATCTCTCTGGGAGACTGCATTCAGCAAGGTTGGCAACAGTAGCGGGGACGTTTTGTGATGCTCACCAGCCACGTCCTTGAGAACACGCGCTACATCAGACGTATTTCTGTAGAAATAGTTGGTGATTAGCCTGCTATATAACTCCAAGGGTCTAGACTCCATCGCGTCATCATCACAGCTCACGTAGGATACCGAATGGACCAATGATCCATCTCAACTCTCTCTTTCCCAGCCTTATTCAAAACCATATCAAGGAGCACATTAACCGCACTCTCCTTGCTCTCCTCAACCTCACCGTACAATACTGGAATCCTAAACACCACACTCTTCCTCCATGCGCTTAGGACTGCTTGTTCGCCAGCCAACTTGGTCTCTCCGTAGAAGTTAGCCGGATTAGTCGCGGCATCAGCCTCGTACGGAGCTGCACCGGGTTTCCCGTCGAAAACGTAGTCGGTGGATATGTAGATTAGGATTATGTCACGATTTGCACATTCCTGGGCGAGGCTGTTTGATGCTTGAACCTGGATTTCTCATGCATAGGCGTATAAATGAGCTGCTTTGAACAAATATGGGTTGGCTGAGAGCTCAATTACGTTCAGGCGTTTGACTCCCTCGGGGTCTGCGTCGCACTTGTCCGGGAAGCGTTCTGCGGCACCTAACCCTCGAGGTCAGTATTAGATGAATGCTAGCCAGGTAAATGTGATGGGGGGGGTATTCTCACAGTGAACCACCACCTTGGGCCTATCCGTAAGGCATCGCGTTAGATTAGGCCTCCTTGTGAGATAACTGGCCCGAGAGAAGTATACTTCACCTCCTCCAACAACCCAGCGACCTCACCTGCATTCCCCAAATCCACCTTCAAAATCGCTGGAGGATTTGCTCTGGAATACCCTGCTCACCAATCACCCATTAGCGCTCTACTTCAACCAGCCCAGCCTTAACTCCACCAAAACCCACCAGTCCCGATGGTCTTCCACTTAGCTCCTTCAAAGGCTTTAACACACTGCCTTCCCAACTGTCCCGTCCCCCCAGTAACCACAACCACTTTCTCAGACATTCTGATCCCAGATTATTTTTTCCCTCTTCTCGTTGTCGCTATCGCAATTAGCAGCTTTCTTTAGGGATATCAGAGGAGGGGTTCAAGTGAGGTTCGCGGAAAAACAGCATTGGCGAGAGCTATGAGATTTTCTGTTTGCGGGGGAAGTGCGAGTGATGAGTGCCAAGAATGGGGTAAACCCTGCTTTTGCGCGATGCTCACGGTTGGGAGGGTTGGGTGGGATGTTGTTTCTCGTGGCATGATTGGAGAGCAGCGTGGTTTTTCAATTGTCCTTACGGCCTCCCTCCAAGTAAGTATTTCGAAAATTGCCGTTGAGAGTCTTCCTCGGAAATGTTATATCTTAACAAAAAATACAAGGTACGATCTTGGTGCCAAAATTCGCTGACCCCCACCACTATTTTACACGAGCAATGGGTGATTTCAAGCACACAAAACTAATTCGATTGAAGGAAATAATTTTAGACCGTGAGGGGTCAGCGAGGCGGCACCCTCAGAAAGCCATGGTGAGCTTGGCACTAAGAAATTGTTAGTAAATAGATGTCGTCCTGCAATCCCCACCAAAACACAAGGAGAGAAAAGACAGGAAGACGAAAAGACAATATTTCATTTTATTTCATTCTAAACAAAATACTACAATTATGCCTTTGCCGCACCCTGAGATCCCAGTCCGTGTCCGTGATCACATAGCCATTGAAATGGCTTCCGAAGGAATTGCACTAAACCTTACCATTGCTGCAGCAATAGTAGGAACAGCTCCAACAACAGAAATAAACTATCAAGGAAGAAAAACCAAAAACCAAAAAGGTCAATAGAGTGTTTTGGCCACCTCCTACAGAAGAGAAATTCGAGCTCAAAATTTGACTTGAGCTAATGCTTACTAAGGTGGTGGCTAACGGCAGAAGTGGTGTTGTGGAAAAGCACCTACAAGCAAGTTGCAAAGTTGCAACCCTCGATCACAGGAGTATTCTGCCTCCGCACATCCTCATTTTGTCGCGATTGTTGTAGAAGGTAAGTTTAAAATTTGAAAAAATACTGAGAGAATAAGACACTGATAAAATATACAGAAAATATATTGTTTAAAACCAAGTGAGGCTGATATGACTTATACCAAGCTTAGAAATCAAAGCTTATCTCCCCGAACAGAGGAAGGGATTGCTACTCCACATATTCAAGTTACGCCAATCCAGAATGACCAGGATCTCCAAGAAGAGTTATCTTCTGCAGCATCTGCCTTTCGAGAGTGTAAAGACCTTGTATTAACTACTCTTGAGTTTCGGCTCTATGCTGCACTGCATGGTAGCAAGAGAGATAGATGATTAGAGGTTATTAAAAGTTTAAATAGTCGTGACAGGTATGTTGCCTATTGGGCTTACTTTCTATTACAACCAACAAATACAAAGTTTGTTTCTGAGTGGTAAATTCAATAAACTAATTTTTGTTTTTAGATTTTTACGCAAAAGCATCCACTATATTCAGACACGAGTAAGAAAGCAATTAGCCTTTCACGAGAACGGTCCAAAGTACAACCGTCGTGCTTCCGATAGGCAATTGAGTATCCAATGATTACAAGCCATCCCAC